ATGTTTAATTGACCTTTGTCAAAACGAAATACCATAACGAATTAATAACACGGTCTGTTTTCATTTACATCATAAAGTACTTTACGTTATCTTTATTACTAATTATTCACGGTTTAATCACCTGATTCAATTATTGACTATTGAAAAAAAAACATATAAATATTTGAACCACCTAAGGGTTGGTATTACTCTTCTCTGTGAGTTTCAAGAATATTATTTAGGGTAATACTGTACTGATTTGTTTCATACTTTTTTTTAAATTTATTTTATGAACTATATATGTTGTCATTGTATGACATATAGCAGTATGATATTTAAATAGGCTCATAAAATTAAATGCGTTTTTCCAAAATTTTACTTTTTTAGTGTGGCTTTTTTAGTTGCAACTTATTATAACATTTTCAAATAAAACAAAAGGCTAACTAATAAAATCGTTTGTTATCTTTCGTAATTATGGATAACATAGCTAACTTAATTTTAAACACATAATTGCCTAAATGTATGTTAAATAAAAAAGGAAAAATCAAAAAATCATTTACAAATGGCCGATTTATACTACTACAGTAAACTACAATATTTGATGTTATGAAACACATTATTATAACTTTGAAAACATGTTAGGTGAAGTCATAGTAGGCTTTAAATTGTCTTTATTCGTAAATATTTCAGCTCAATTATTGGTCCTGTATCCAATGTAATATCAAAGTTACTCTAAAAAATTGTACTTATTTACCATTTTCGTATTAATGTTCAACCTATAACCGTCAAAATTTATTTTTTTATATCTTTAGATTTTTTTACCATTTAAAAATTTTTTTTATAAAGTTATAAATCATTAGTGTGAAGTATTTATTTAAGTACCTGAGAGAATAGCTTTAAGTTTTACTTTCCTTGAAATACAGGGTGGAAAAAGTCCTGGGATAGTTTAATATAACAAAATTTTATAAATATAGAGCTGCAAAATTTGGTACAAAGTTACTGGACATTAAAATCATTATATTACATTATTCAGTGCCTCCTCATAGGGGCGGCTGGCTAGAAGTCAGGAGAAAATTTCAAATTTGGGCATAGGTTGATTGGTACAGCAAATCAAAGGTATTTATTAGTAGAATACAATGCTGCAAATTTGCTTTAATTTTAAAATTTTCTCTTACTATCTCAGAGGAGTTAGCGTTTCACTGACTAATGTGTATAAACCATTTTAATGGCCAGTACATTTTCACCAAGTTTTGTAGTTTTATCTTTATTAATTTTTTAAATGTTTAGCTGTCCCGGGACTTTTTCCTGCCTGTCTCGTACTTACCTTTACGCAGGGCGCATACCGTCCACCCTAAAATTAATACATCTGGCCATAGTAATTTCACTTGTATTTCATATGAGTTTTGCATCAGCTGTCATTGTGGGACTCGCTACCTTTCTAGCATTCGTCGATGTAAGTATAAAACGTTATTATTAACTGTTTTATGATATGTTCTGACTTTTTAATATAGTTCTGTTTAATACTTGATACATTTATTTGTAAATTGAGTAAAATGTGTCACAGCCATGTACTTAAAGACGGTATAACCTTTTCAGAATTTCACCAATTTCAATTTCGTGTTCAAATATGTCCACTGAGTTAAAAGAATAACCTTGTTTAGTAATATAATTGGTATTTTTTTTACTGATCTAATGTCACATTAACATTGCATAATTACATGTTAAGCAAAAAAGTGATTTTTACTGGTTTTTAATATAATGGTATATCGATAACTAATGTTTTATAAAATACAATATCTTAATTAATCATTAAGTTAATTGTTTTTACTTTTGTTTAGTTCACGGTTGCAAAGCCTGAACCTGAACCAAGTAGTGGACATAATGCCTCATAATCTCTTCTCTTCTTAAAATAAGGATAAATCTCTCTTGGATCTTACGCAATGGAAGCTGCACGTGTGTTATGATCAAGAGAAATTAAACTGTATAAGCTTGAAAAGCGTGTTTTGTTAAATCCTGGAAATTTCAATCCGAGTCATGAATAACTCACTTATATTAATGTAGAGGTACACTTCTGTAATCTAAAAGTTAAATGCTTATAAATATCTGATATCGGGTAAATAAACCATGTTTAGTTTGAATCATCTATACTTTTCCTCTATTATAAGTATAAAATACAAGTAATTTTACGTCCTGCAATCCAGCTACTAGGAGGTCACGAGTTGTGGATATCTATAGACATGCACTGTGGATGCGACACTCCCTGGTGTGGATTAACGTCCGCACTAGTGATTACTACGACCACAGTACTATCTTGGTAATTAGACCAATTCGGCAGAAATGTGGTTCAGATTCCACTATAAACTGTAGGTCCCTTATTAGCCATTGACTAGCTATGTGGGCTATTAATTAACAGCTGTGTCTATGGAACACGTTGGCCTTAGTCACTAACAAGACTACAAGATCACGCCACTCAACCTACATTCATCTTTATTAATTTACACTTGGCTTATCAACTGCTTTTTAATCGAATTTAAATAACTATAATAACAATAATAACAGCTTAAAATAATTTATATTTAGCCAATATGCTAATATAAGTATTGTAACAACTCGTTTAAACTATAATACGTCTCTTGGGACTAATATATCATTACGGTTAAAACTAAAAGATTGAGACTAAAACTTTATAATGTTTATAGTAATCAGGAAATACATTTTTCCTTCATACTTTATAAAAACTCAGAATAATATATTTATGAAATATGCGTGTTCAACTTTCAATGCTCAAATATAACTTATTTTGGATTGCTATACTTTCTTTAAATCTAAGTATACTTTCTTTGAAACTAATTATTTTCAATTACACGAAGTATGTAAAAAGCCTTCAGAACATGCTTGCATTTAAGATAATTGATACCTTCACTATGCCAAGATTTTACAACTCATTTTGTGTGTGTTTGTGTTTTTTTTTATTTTTATGATAGTTAGCTAAAACCATTGTTATGATAAAACAATGAAAAAATTCCGTTCTGGATAAAATACCGTTCTGTTGTTAAATAAATCGAATATCTTTACGATTCAAAACTAGGTTTGTTCCACCGTCAAAAGGACTTTCCTCCTAAGACTCCGCCTTCTTTTCTAAAATGCATATTTGAACTATGTCCTTGTTTGCAATAAATGAATTCTATGTATTTAAAAAACCAAATGTGTGATCTAATCAATTATTTATTACATTTTATCGTATAAATTTGAAACAAAACAGTTCAGGTAGGTATTTCAATATATATTTGGTATTACTGTTTTCATCCACTCATAAAAAAGAAATAAAAAACGGTCTCTTGACCAGTGGTAGTTTATACTAATATAATATTGAAAGAAGAGATAACAAGTCTGGTATTAAACGTGTCGTCAACAAGGTTAAGGTGTCTTGATATACGAGATTGCAGTTTAGCCAATGATAATACCACTCTATAACTCAGTCCAGATTAAATCTGCATTGAATATTGAGCAGTGTTATAAGGGGAGTCTCTACATGTCAAATTATTCATTTGGGAAATTACTATGGATTATTATAATGATTCACAAAAGCATATATGTTATGCCTTTCCAACTCCCTTAAAAACTTGTGTAACGGGGTACCAGTATATTGGAACCAATAGCAAAATGCTTTGTTGGAGGTTCATTGTTGGTGATGGTGAATGTTGTTCAAAGGTTTATTGCGAACATTTTCCATCAGGATGGTAAGAAAATAATACACAATATTTCGGGATCTGGAATCTGATCCCACCCTCAGGTTATAATCCTTAACTATCACAGAACTACTAACAATACACAAAAGCCCAACCTAAGTTAAAATACACTACTGAGAGTAGCAGTCAAATATATGTACAGTATAGTAGTAAAGTAATGATACAAAATGCAAAATATAAACAATACAGTCTATATGAGACTTCACCTTAGAACGTTATACAATAACGTTGTGTATTGTTTTTACCATTGTGATGGGAAATGCCCGCAAAAAACCTTTGAACAATAATGTCAAAAGCTGTTCAGTAATATGTTTCTCATTCAATATTAACAAGTATTAAGCAGTAAAATGCGCTGGTGGCTGATACGTGGTTTGTTGTTGTATTAGTTACAATCTAAAACCGTTTTATTTCTTGATCCAACTATTTACCATATACAAATATGGGCAGCTGAATAGTCAGACTAATTGCCTAACTGCTATTAATTGTTTAATGCGTGTTTCAAATACATTTATTGAATCCTAGCAAGAAAATATAATTGTAGGATTATGGTTTTGTAAAGTTTATGGTTACAAAAGTCTCAGGGATTTATTAGTTCATATTCGTAATTAGTTTATCAAACTATTTCAGGTATTTGCTGATATCGTAAATATTATTAGATAATATGTTATTTGAATAACAATAAATGAGAATTTGTAATTCACATTAATATAAACAAAGGTTCATATTTTGTTTTTCAAGCTATTTATTTGATTTTCAACCGGTTATTGCCTACATCAATTTTCATATTTCCATAATTTCTTACCTTATCACTCGAACTGATAAAGTTTATATTGCACGGCTCCTAATATATCCTTTTGGCAATTATTTTTGATTGAATGTGATATATTTGATTACAGTTTTTATTTTGTCACCATCTTCATATTAATATTGTGCTTATCTATGCCGATGGCATTTAGGTTTCGATGTTTGTACAATGTAAAAAACTGTAAAAACGTTGTCCCGCAGAGGCAAACCAATTACACATTTTTGAGATTTAAAATTATTTATAATTATTCGATAGTGCAAAAATTATTCTGTAAAAAAATTATTTTTGAAATCAAATTATTACTTAATTTATGGGGTTGTAAACATTTAATTAAATACGATTTTTAATTGACCATTAACAAACCTAAATATCATAAATAACTAATAACATGGTCTGTTTTAATTTATATCAAAAGGTAATTTACGTTATCTTTATTGCTAGCTATTTACAGTTGGATTATCACATACATTTAATGACTATTAAAGAAAATGTATAAATATTTAAACCACCAGAGGATTGCTATTAATTTACTCTGCGAGTTTCAAGAATATTATTAAAGGTAATACATGGTCTAATTAGTTTTATGGACCGAATATGGTATTATTGTACTATATATAGCATTCTTATATTTAAGTGTGTTCATAATTCTATAAGCGTGTTCTAGGGGTTAAATAATTTTTGCCCAAATTTTGGTTTTTCCTTTTTAAATTCAGCAATATTTTTTTGTTGACAAAAGGTTAAATAATAAATAACTGTTACTAACCTTTGGTGATTATAAAAACACAGCTATTCTGTCATCAAACACCATAATCTCCTCAATGATAAAGAAAAAAAAAATAGATCATTTACAAATAGCTGATTTATAGTAATAAGATATTTATGCTATTCATACATGATTTGATACGTCTGGCCGTAGTAATAAAATGTGTATTACAGATGTATTTTGCATCAGCTGTCATCCTGGCATTTGCTACCTTTCTAGCATTCGTCGATGTAAGTATGGAACATTGCTAATACTTTTTTTACTATACGTACTCAGTAAAGTTCTATTTTAACTTGATAAATATATAAAATAAAATGTATAGTAATAAACATCACATGTGTAAGTTCAACTAGTCCAAACTTATTTAGGTTTTTTATCAATTTTAATTTAGTGTTAAATCAAATAAAACAACCTTGTTTGTTAGGATTATTGTTTGTAAGTTTTTTTCGCTGGTATTATGTATTGTAACGGGTACGATTAGTAATTAATCTTTGTTAACATGAGTAGCTTTTAACCTGTGTGTATCAGTATTGAATATAATATCGATAACACATTAAGTTCCTGTTTTTGTTTAGTTCACGCTTGCAAAACCCGAACCGAAACCTGCAACCGGAACTATGTCCTAAATATCAAGGAATGGAAGCTGCACTAGTGTTATCTTGTTAAATAAAATTATATTAAAATAAAACACGTGTTTTTTATTGCATCCTGAAAAATTAAAATTTATAGTACATTTAGGGCTCCTTTTTAAAACTAAAACGTCATAATGATCATATTATCATGTTAATAAATAATAAAATATTTTCCCGTTTAACCTCTTTAGAAATATATGAAGAAAAAGGTCTTATAAAATTTGCATGTAAGACCTTCAAGGCTACAAATATTACTTTTCAAATATTATCGTCCTAGATTGCTCACTATAATCACTTTAAAATCGTCCAACACAGCAACTGATTATACAGTACATTTTCGAGCCAAAGATGATTGTTTACTTGATTTTAACTTGATTTTACATTTTACATGATTTGTTACAATACAAACGTGGTTCGGTTAACCAGTTACAATGATAAAAATATTAATAAATTGACAAAATACCATCCAGTAGTAAAACGTTTGATATCTTTAAGATTATTTAGTGGGATTTTCTACAGTCAAATGGCCTATATTCTAAAACGTATGTTTATGCCCTTTTTTGCAATAAATCTAGCTCGTGCGTCTCAAGTGATTTCATGAATTAAATAGTACGTTAAATAGTGTAATATTTAAATTCAGATTTTTCAGATAAGTACAGTATTTAAAAGCCTCTGTATGAAAAACAACAAAGGAAGTATAAACAATCTAAAGAATTATTTATTACTTCTAATCATATAAATTTTAAACAAAACAGTTCAGGTATGTATATTAATAAATACTAGGTATTAATGTTTTTCATCCACTCATAAAACAGAAATAGCAAAAAGAGACACTTAATTAATGAGGTAATCTATACTAATATAATATTAAAGGAGGTAATAACTAATCTGCTATCTTGTATTAATCGTGATGTCAACAAGGTTAAGGGTGGGTTTTAATATGATAAACGAGATTGCAGTTTAGTCAGTAATACCACTCTATAACTCAGTCCAGATTAAATCTACATTGAATATTGAACAATGTTCTAAGGGAGTATCTACATGTCAAATGATTCATTTTTGACTATTATTATTGTTCATAAAACACAGACTTTATGCCTTTTACAATCAGTATTACGAGAAACACGAATATAATTTAAATCATTTTAACAGAATATTCCAGCCCACACTAGATTTTTTACCAAACCAAAATTGTTTGGTAGCTTTTACATTCACGAGCCTCAACCAAGTGGTTTGTACCTTTAGACCTAAATTAAATTAAGGGTCTTTTAGAATCGATCAACAAAAGCTAGTCAGTAATATGTTGTGATCTAACAGTTTTATGTACTACTTAATAGGTGAGTTGGTGGCTCAGTCGGTAACTTCCTGCCTAAGGCAGCGATGTCGAGGGTTCGGATCCTGGTCACACCCCTTGCTTTGCTAGACACGTTCCACGCACGGGCAGTTAGTCTGTGTGGATGGGCAAATGCAAGATCAAAAGAGGCCGCTAATCACAAAAAAGATTTATGAATTGTGGTCTTATGGTAACGACCGTGTCAAATTCAATGAATCACTACCCTCACTCTTCGACGTTTCGGCCTCGATATACAGGGTGATTGATATAAGTGTGCCAGCCGTTTTATTCGAAAACCATAAGAGATATAAAAAAAGTTAAATGGTGCCTTGGATTTTTTATTTTGAAAATTATAGTCAAGTCAAAAAAATTATTTTAGCCACCATTTTTCCAATATGGCCGCCAACTTTGATTTTTCTTATGGAATACCCTGTATTTCATGATGTATTCTGGTAGAAAATGTAATTTTAAGAAGATTTTATTCCTGTAATTTTTTTCATAAACCTAACTGTTTCAGAGATAATAGTGGTTTAAGTTGTGAAATTTTAAATGGTTTTCGAATGAAACAGCTGGCATGCTTGCTTTTATCGCCTTTATCGAAACTCTTTCTCATTCAGAAATTTCAAAACTTTAACCATTATTATCTTTGAAACGGTTAGGTTTATGCAAAAATTACAAGAATAAAATCGTCTTAAAATTAAATTTTCTACCAGAATACATCATAAAATACAGGGTGTTCCATAAGAAAAATCAAAGTTGGTGGCCATATTGGAAAAATGGCGGCTAAAATATTTTTTTTTGACTTGACTACAATTTTTTAAATAAAAAATCCAAGGCACTTACATTTAACTTTTTTTGATATCTCTTATACTTTTCGAATAAAACGGCTGGCACACTTATATCAATCACCCTGTATAGAGCACCATCCTCAGGGTTACTTGACTACCCACAAATGATAAATCAAAATCTACTTTATTTCTTATCTTTCTTATCTTATCTTCTTATCTTATCTTTCTTCTTCTGCGGAGTCAAATCGCCCTGTGGATATTGCGATATGTAGAGACCGAAACGTAGGATTGTGAGAGTAGTGATTCGGTTAACCAGAAGACAACAATTAGAATAAGTGGACCGTGGAAATCTAGGAAGAACTTAACGGATGTCGGCAGTGCTTACGATAACATATTTAGGCCAAAGCCTTACTACATATTTAGTAAGTAAGTATAGGGAATTGAATATACCCATCTAAAATATCCATCGAAGTAGGCCCTACACCATAAACCTTGGTATTGCCAATGTCATTAAACTTTCATAGGCTGGGTTTCAGCTCGCTATGTGTCAATCATTTGGGAATAAGGCTGCTGTTGCTGCTAGCAAAACGAGAGGGATTTCAATAGTTAGGGAAGATAAAATAGATAATTTATATTATTATTTTTAGTCAACAAGTCTTAAATTGTCAGACAATATTTGACATTTAAAAACCTCAGCAGTTGATTAATCGATCAAATTTACATGCAGGTCTAAATCAATTTATATTCTTTATTAGGAGTGGACCATTTAAAGTGTCACAATAGCCTATTTTTTATTATCAGAAGGACAGTTAACTTGTTATTAGACAATAACCTTTATTTTAAAGATGTTTTTTGAAAGGTTTCGAATTTCAAAAATATAACCGCCGTTACCAAATAACCTATAAATGAAATCTTAAATATTTCTAACTCAATGTTGGCTGGTTTATACATATGTTAACAGTTGATTGAACTTTCAATCAACTTTTGTATGGACTTATAGGCTCGTTGATAAATGTTAAGACCTTTTGATGTGAAGAAATAGATTTGGAGAACACAAAAACGACCCAATTCTATTTCCTATTTTGGTTTTGTTTCATTGAAATGGATTACGTCCAAAATAATTTTTGAATACAGTGGTTACTAAAAAGACTAGTCTTTTTACTCAGTATCCACTTTTTTAGGCCATCATTTATTTGTGTCATTTTATATAAGATAATTGAGAAAAACAAGAAAGTTTTTACGTAAACAAATTAAATTCTATACGGTTTTATGTTTAAGTTGGTTTATAAGTATACAGTAATAGTCAATTTCATTTTATCAATTCATGCTTTATTAACTAAACGATATGCGGCAAAAAGTAAATATAAAACGGTCTTGATGTAATGGTTACTTAGTCTGTTTGACTTAAAGCAAACAAATAACATCAACGTTTGTTGAAGGAGCTTGAAATTAAACATTGCTAACAGGATCGAAATGCAAATAACGCTTTTGAGATTTTCCTTCATAAGATTCCTCTTAATTGTTGTTTACATTCAATTTACTTCTTCGCACATGTAGCATTTCATATTCATGCAGATGGTATATATGAATGCTTCGTAACTTTTATGTAGTTTTGTAATCAAAAATCATAAGCGTATAGTATGTAGAATTCATCGTATCTCAGTTGTGGTGAGTATAAAAAATGTTGACTTCTCGATTGAAGGATTTCGAAACACTTTGGTTTCTGAATGGTTATTTTTCAGCATTTTTACTTGAAAAATAAACCTATCAGATATCAAAATACTGAACGCAAGTGCCAAATTCGGACAAAATTTGATTTAAAAGATTTTTTATGCAATTCTAGGGCTGATTATTTATTTTGCCTTCGGCACTGAACGATTTTTTATATGGCTGCTCCAATAAAAAAAAAAAAAACATAGTTATATAAATATATTGAAAGACTGTTTGTAAACCTTTTTGTGTATGAGCTATGAACATGTTTATTAATACAGGATTTACATAAACATAAGATTGGGTAATAGTTCTTCGTTCGTTATGGTGTATTTACACAAAAGCGCGCCAAAACATTAAATACAGCAAATTCCCCTTTTTTAACGTATACAAACAAACCATAACTTGTGTTTTATTTGTTTGGGGCTGAACGGAACTAAACGTTGCCAACAATACCCCACAAATTAAACATTTTAACCTCCGTTTTCCAGTTTTTACAAGAATCTTCACCATATTTGTAACTGTGATTTGAATTTGGGTTTGGCATTAATACTTACAAAAACTTATTTACTTTAATCTTACGATCGGTGGATATGATCTGATGTGGAACTATAAAACTATTCATAATATTAATATACATTTTTTATTTTCTATTTTAAGTACCACATTTATGTTTAATAATTAAACTCTTATCATGTTTTGTGCACTTAATCAATAAAGGGTTTAAAATAAAACCAGTAAAAGTATTCTCAATCAACCCAAGCTATCGTTCAAACCTCCTAGGAAAGACTCTTAATGCAGGTATCCTTTAATTAAGTTGATAAAAATCTGATACCAACACAGGTTTTCCATCTTACCATGTAGTCATATCAAAACACAATCGTATATTTCAATATGTGATTATGGCGATGAATCCAGGATGATAATAATAGAAACGTAATATTTTAGCCTTGAAGGTTTTACATGAAAAATTTATAATTTTTTTATTCACACATTTTTATAGAGGATAAATGGGAAATGTTTTTTTTATATCAACATTATGAAGTTATAGTTTTAAGTGGAATGTATGAAATGTACTATCAGTTTGATTCTTCCGGATGCACTAAAAACACGTGTTTCATTTTCATAAAATTGTATTTCACAAGGTCATAACACTAGAGCAGCTTCCGTTCCTTGATATTTAAGAGTGAGGACCTTGGCTTGGTTGAGGTTCAGGTTTTGCAAGCGTGAACTAAACAAAAATAGGAACTTAATTATGTTATAGACATTATATTCAATACTGATACACACAGGTAAAAACCCACTCGTGTCAACAAAGAATTTACTAATCGTACCCGTTACATTACATAAAACCAGTGAAAAAAACTTACAAACAATATTCCTAACAAAAAAAGTTGTTTTATTTGTTTTAATACTAAATTAAAATTGATAAAAAACCTAAATAAGTTTGGACTAGTTGAACTTACACATGTGATGTTTATCACTGTACATTTTGTTTTATATATTTATCAAGTTGAAATAGAACTTTACTGAGTACATATAATAAAAAAATATTAGCAATGTTCCATACTTACATCGACGAATGCTAGAAAGGTAGCAAATGCCAGGATGACAGCTGATGCAAAATACATCTGTAATACACATTTTATTACTACGGCCAGACGTATCAAAATTATATATAAAATAGCCGTAGTACCATATTATTAAAAAACAACTACTTGCGAATTATTCTATTATTTTTTTACCTTTATCATTGAGAAGATTAGGCTATGTGTTTGATACGAAGATGGCTATGTTTCTATTACCACGAATGTCAGTGATATATTTGTATAATTTAGTCTTTTGTTCCCTATACAAATATTGCTGTATGTAAAGAAAAAAAATCTAAATGCATGCCAAAATTGTGTGATGAACATTCCCAATAAGAATGCTATACATAGTACAATAATACCACCTTCGGTTCATAAAACTAATAATACTGGCTATTTTAGTATTACCTTTAATAATATTCTTGAAACTCACAGAGAGAAGTTATACCAATTCTCTGGTGGTTTCAATATTTATACCTTTTCTTCAATAGTCATTAAATTTGTCTGATAATTCAATTGTTAATAGCTAGTAATAAAGATAACGTAAATTACCTATGATGTAAATCAAACAGACCGTGTTATTAATTATTTATGGTATTTAGTTTTGACAAAGGTCAATTAAAAAATTATACTTACTGAAATGTTAAAACCTCATAAAGTAAGAAATAATTTATTTATAAAATTATTTTTATATGATATAATTTATCGATTAAATATTAATAATTTAAAAAACTAAAAATATATAATTGACTTGCCTCTGTGGGACAGTTTTTAAAGTGCTGTGAAAACATTTAAGCCTAAATGCCAACGGTATGGATAAGCACAACATTAATAAGAAGATAGTAACAAAATAAAGATTGTAATCAAACATATCGGATTCAATTACAAATAATTGCCAAAAGTATATTTTAGAAACCACGTAATATAACATTTATTAGTTCGGGTGTTAAGGTGTTATTTATTAGTTATGGAAATCGTTGTAGGCAATAGCTGGTTGAAAATCAAATAAATCATTTAATTAATAAAATATGAACCTTTGTTTATATTAATGTAAAAAAATCTTATTTGTTGTTATTCAAATTCTATAATCTAAAACAAGCACGTGTACGGAAAAACCTTTATTTTCATCCGAGGATTTTAGATTTTTTGTGTATTGTGGGGTATTTTGCCACGAATCGTTTGGGGTTGGTCACAAGGCTAGGAAAAATGCAGTTTCCACCATACAGCTCTTGAAAGTGTCCATGTTAATTTCAATACCTTTTGTAGCTGCAGTCAATAAAACAGCTCATATAGGCTATTCATATTTCAATCTATGTATTGTATAATGTCTTTAAAAGGTGTATTAACATTGGTACATTGGTACCACATCGATACCAGTGCATTATTAATATATTTAATTTAGCTAAATAACTATCCAATACATTTATTGTTAAATTCAATCCGAGCATTGCTTGTCTCCTGGTACTAATATATTAACTAATATTATTTACAGTATCACAAATACCTGAAATATTTTGATAAACTTATTATGAATAAGAATTGATAATCAAGTTAATAATTGATTAAGAAGGTCCCTGAGACATTTTAAATAATAAACTTTACGAAACCATGATCCTACAATTATATTTACTTGCTAGGATTCAATAGATTTATGTGAAACACGATCTATAAATTAACAAACGCTGAACTTGTAATAAACTAAAATACCCGTATTACACAACTTATAACAATTAGGCAATTAGTCTGACTTCTCAGCTGCCCATATTTGTATATGGTAAATAGTTGGAACAAGAAATAAAACTCTTTTAGCTTGTTACTAATACGACGACAAACCTCGTATCAGCCACCAGCGCACGTTACTGGTTAATACTTGTAAGTATGGAAGGGAAACATATTACTGAAAAGGTTTTGCTATTATTGTTCAAAGGTTTATTTTGGACATTTTCCATCACAATTTATTTGCCACAATTTATTTATTTTATTTAAAAACTGTGGAGGAGGAAGAACCAGTAAAACTGTTCGGCTTTTGGATAGACTCCAAATGTAGCTGGAATTTCCATATTGAAAAGGTGTGTGTGAAGCTTTCCCGTGTGGTTTATCTTCTGAGAAAACTGAGATCAGAAATCACTCTACCTTATCTGATGACTGTTTATCATGCCCTATTTCAAGGTCATATTACATATGGCTTGGTCCTGTGGGGTCACTGTTCAGCTGCGCAACAGGTCCTACTACTGCAAAAGATGGCACTTCGAGTGATCACATTTGCGGGATACTACGACCACTGTCGCCCGATTTTTGAAGAACGGCAGGTACTAACTGTGTTCAGCCAGTATGTGTATAACATCCTTGGTCTCCTAAAGGAAGAGGAAACTGACTTTGACAGAAGGAGTGACCAGCATACTTATGGGGCACGGAATGCAGTAGACCTTGATATGCCCCGATGTCGTCTAAGCAGATCTCTTAAATGCTACCCACGATACGCTATCAGGATTTTTAACACGCTTCCCAAAGCTGTTAGGGACTTGAAGATTAAACCTTTCCAAATGACCCTCCTCAAGGTACTGTTGAAAAGGCCGTTGTACTCGTTGGCCGAGCTTGAAGAGCCACTCTTTCCATCCTGATTTTGACATATAACTAGACCTAATTAACCCAAACCGCCATGCCACAATTTTTCTGTAGTGTTTGTAAATATTAGTTTTTGTATAAATGGTATATATAAATAAATTGACGCAATATATCCGATAATGTCGGTCAAAGATGAAGACATCAAGTATCAAGTATCAAGTAAGTATCATATTTCATGGTAAAAAAATACACAACGTTATTGTATAACACTGTACGGCAACGTCTTATATAGACTGTATTGTTATGTATTTGGTCATATTTTGCATGTTGTATCATGACTTGACTGCTATACAGAGCATATATTTGACTGCTACTCTCTGTAGTGTATTCCAACTTAGGTTAATTTTGTGTATTGTTAGTTTGTTGTTATAGATGAGATTCCAGATCCCGAAATATTGTGTAATGTTTTCTTACCATTGTGATGGAAAATGTCCACAATAAACCTTTGAACAACATTAACTCACCATCACCAACAATGAACTATAAAACCAAGAAAGAACCAACAAAGAATTTTGCTATTGGTTCCAATATACTGGTACCCAGTTACTTCAGTTTTGAAGGTAGCTAGAAAATCATAAATTATATGCTTTTGTGAATCATAAAAATTGTCTATAATAATTCTCAAATGAATCATTTGCCATGTAGAGACTCCCTTATAACACTGTTCAATATTCAATGTAGATTCAATCCGGACTGGAGTTATAGAGTGGTATTATCACTGTATAACAATACAGACTTAACTGCAATCTCGTATATCATATTAAAACCCACCCTTAACCTTGTTGACGTCACGTTTAATACCAGACTTGTTATCTCTCTTTCAATATTTTATTGGTATAAATTACAACTGTTATCAAGAGACTGTTTTTTATTTATTTTTTATGAGTGGATGAAAACAATAATCCAAATATATATTGAAATACCTACCTGAACTGTTTTGTTTAACATTTATACGATCAAAAATGAAAAATTATTTATTATATCTCACGTATGGTTTTTAATGCATAGAATCAATTTATTGCAAACAATGCAATAATTAAAATAAATCATTCACCTTAGAAGGAGTTTGACGGTTGAGCAATCCTACTCGTAAATATATTCAATTTATTTAAAAACAGAATGGTATTTATATGTTGATTAGATTTCACTATTTCAATACTAATATCAACATATGGTGGGAACCTTATGCCAAATGTAAATTAATGTAAGTTGCTATCCAACTTGATTATGTGGATAGCAAAAAAATTATTTACAGTCAATTTAAATAGCACTTGATACAAAAACTAACTATTCCTAAATTAAAGACTCTGTTATGAAATATGATATTTTAACACTTTAATCTGAAATGGTAACCATACGATCACCAAGTATTTGGGAGATGAGTGTAGGATGTGTGGCGTGATCTTGTAGTCTTGTTAGTGACTAAAGCCGACATGTTCCTTAGACACAGCTGTTAATGAATAGTCCATACATCCAATGGCAAATAAGTGACCTACAATTTATAGTGGACCCCGAACCACATTTTTGCTTTAACGAATTGGTTTAATTATCAGGATAGTACTGCGTATGGTCATAGTACTTACTAGTGCAGACGTTTATCCACACCAGGGAGTATTGCAACCACAGTGAATGCCTATAAATATCTACAATTCGTAACCTGAGAGTCGCTGGAATTCAGGACGTAAAATGACTTGTTTTTTATACTTATAATAGAGGATTTGAATCTTGTATAGATGATCCGAACGAAACAGGTTTTATATACCTGATATCAGATACTCTTTCAGCAAGCATTTAAGTTTTAGATTACAGAAAAGGACATCTAAATAATTATAAGTGAGTTATTAAGACTCAGTTTGAATTCTCCAGGATTTAATAATACACGCTTTTTATGTTTTTAAAATTTTATTTCTCTTGATCATAACACAAGTGCAGCTTCCATTGCGGTAGATCCAAGAGATATTTATCCTGCTATTAAGAAGAGAAGAGATTTTTACGAGACATTATGTCCATGACTTGGTTCTGGTTCAGGCTTCGCAATCGTGAACTAAACAAAAATAAAAAACAATTAACATAATGAATAATTAAGAACTTCTATCTTATTATATATTAGTTATCAATATACTAATATATTTAAAACCCGTAAAACCTCACTTTATGTTTAACATGTAATCATGCATCACATTAAGCTAGTAAAAAAAATACCAATTATATTACTAAACAAGGTTTTTTTTATTTTACTCAGTGGACTTATTTTAACACTAAATGATTTTGTTGAAATTCTTGAAAAGTGATACCTTCTTTATGTACATGATTGTGACATCTATTACTCTATTTAAAAATAAATGTATCAAGTACTAAACAGAATATTAAGAAATCAGAACATATCATAAAACAGTTATTAATAATGTTTCATACTTACATCGACGAATGCTAGAAAGGTAGCAAGTCCCACAATGACAGCTGATGCAAAATACATCTGTAATACGAGTGCAATTATTATGGCCTGATATATCAATTTTAGGGTGGACAGTATGCGCCTATGCGTAAAGCTAAAAATAGGTATACAGGGTTGAAAAAGTCCCAGGACAGCTAAACATTTAAAAAATTAATAAAGCTAAAACTATAAAAGTTGATGAAAAGTTACTGGGCATTAAAATAATGTATCAGTGGGACGCAACCTCATCAGGGATAAAGAGTAAGAGAAAAATCTGAGATGCAAGCATTGGTTATGCACACAAAATTAAAGATCTTTTAGTAGAATACAACTCTGCAAATTTGAACGCAAATGGACGACCAAGTTGAAAATGGCATCCGTTCAAAGATTCAAAAAGGCAGATTCATGAACACTTTGCCCCTTTGAGGAGGTAGCGTATCACTGAATAAATTTGTATTGTGATTTTAATGTCCGGTAACTTTGTTCCTAATTTTCTAGCTGTATATTTATAAATTTTTTATATTTTTATTATATATGTTATTTTTATATATTAAACTGTCCCGGGACTTTTTTCCACCTTGTATTTACGGTAAGTAAAACTTACAGCTATTCTTTCAGGTGCTTAAAATAAATTCTTCATACTAATAATAAAAAAAATAAAGTTTAAATGGTAACAAAGCTCAATATATAAAAAAGTAGTTTTGACGGTTATAGCTTGAACATTATCTAACCAAAATTGTAAATAAGAAAAATGTTTGAGGGTTACTTTGATATTACATTGGGTCCTGGACCAATAATTAAGCTGAAACCTTTTAGGAAAGAGCCAATTTAAAGCCTACTACCACTTCACCTCATTTGTTTTTAAAAGTGATCATAATATGTTTCATAAATACATCAAATATTGTAGTTACTATGATATTATAAATCAGCCATTCGTTAATGGTTTTGTTTTACATTTTACATACATTTAGAAAATTATGCGTTTTTAAGTTAGCTATGATAATTATATTATTATGAAAGCTAGCGAAAGTTTTATATTAGTTAGCCTTTTGTTTTCTGAGAAATATATATAAAGAGCTGCAACTAAAGAAGCCTCACTAAAAAGTAAAATTTGGGCAAAACAAATTTAATTTGATGAACATATTTAAATATTAGACTGCGATATATGGTACAATAACAACATCTTTGGAACATAAAATAAATTAAAAAAAAAGTATAAAACAAATTAGTATTACCCTAAATAAGATTCATGAAACTCTCAGATGTAAGTAATACCAATCCTATGATGGTTCAAATATTTATATGTTTTCTTCAATAGTTAACAATTGCATCAGATGATTTAACTGTGAATAATTAGTAATAAAGATAACGTAAAGTACTTTATGATGTAAATGAAAACAGACCGTGTTATTAATCCGTTATGGTATTTCGTTTTAACAAAGGTCAATTAAACATCTTGCTTGTTCAAATGTTTACGACCTCATAAGTTAAGTAATTAATTAAATTATTTTGTTATATATTGAAATAAATAATTAATAATTTGAAATATTTTAAAAGTTTTTCACCAACATATTAACTTATGCAATTTGGCTTTGCTTAACACAATATAAATATTAAATGTGTCCTAGAATGTGAAGGTGGGACATAAATAAAAACAACTACACAGCATTTAGCAATATTACCACTCAGCTGCCCAAATTTGTATATGGCAAATAATTGGAACACGAAATAACACTGTTTTTAGCTTGTAACGAGCATAAGCCACGTACCAGCCACCAGCGCACGTTACTGGTTATAATACTAGTAAATATTGAATGGGAAACATATTACTGAAAAGTTTTTGCTAGTAGTTCCAATTCCAATATACTGGCACCCTGTTACATCAGTTTTGAGGGGAGTAGTCATTAGGTTTTATAAAATTGTAATAATATAAAAGTTAAAAAAATGTATTATGATTCATGCTCAACATCAAGTCAGTAAAACAAACTTACAAACTATATTACTAAACAAGGTTATTTTATTTTACACAGTGGTAATATTACAACACTAAATTCAAATTGGTAAAATTCTAAATAAGTGTTGATGGTTTAGGTACACGACTGTGAAATCTATCGCTATAAAACATGTTCTTTATCAAATAGTATGAAAGAGATCTATATAAGAAAGCGGTACATGTTATAAAACAAACAATAATTATTCATACTTACATCAACGAATGCTACTAAGGTAGCAAGTGTAATAGAAAGGTAACAAGTGCCGCGATTAAAGCTGATGCAATAGCCATCTGTAATACGAATTTTATTACTATGGCCAGTTTTACCAACCTATCAGCAAATTACACTTGAACTGCTAGGGTCCACAGATTTTCCGTCAAGGACGTGAAACAAACCAATCCCGGTAACGACACAACGTAAAAGTATACAAAATGTGAGCCATGACACGCGCACACTTTCCCTACGCGATATTACGTCTATAATTTTGTATAATATTACGTAGTGTCGTCGCCGGAATCTGGTTGTATCGCGGCTGTATCTGGTTGTAGAGCTGTGGACCCCAGCAGTTCACGTCCGCCGTTCTGGCACATGTTTTGTTTGTGTCGTAAGGCGGGTGGCTGTCATTTTAACAACTACCGTTTCGTTTCCCTTGTTCGTAAAATGACTTGCTTATTTGTTTTTCGTTTTTGTAAGCTTAAGCATTAGGGGGCAAAAGCATGCGCACCCCTATTAATTTTTTAAATGTGTTCCACCAGGAAAGCCAAACTATGCACACCTCTATATGGCATAAAAGTGATTTTTTTATGGTATCCCAATTTTGCTTGAAACCCTAAAATGGGTTATTTAGGAGGCAGCTGAAAATTCTAAATTAAAGCCCCATCAAGTGCCACCTCGTTTTAAAGGCAATTAGTTTAAAAGAAATTTTGGTGAAACCTAGTGATCTCTATCTTCACCCATTACAGAATGAATGTATTTTTTTTACCACCCTGAGAGACCCCATATAAAAATATACATAATTATATCCTATTGACGTTTTTATAGTTTGTAGTAGGTTAACCAAGTTCTGGATTGACGTAAAGAGAAACTAAAAACTACTTTTTGGTAGGTATGAACATTTTCCCTCGGATACCAAAATAGGTTATATTGAAAGCAGCTCAAAAAGTTCTAGTATAAAGCCCCATCAAGTGAAACCTCATTTTGAAAACCTCAAGAGAAAACACATTTTTCATAATTTCAAAAATCCCATTTTGGGGTCCTGGTCAAAATTATTACACCGACTAAAAATAAGCTTTTAGTTTTTTTTTAAGTAATACTGTGTTTAGTTTCCTTAGTACAACCCATAAAAACGTTAATAGTAAATATTGATGTGCATTTTTAAATGGCGTCCCTCAGTCTGATGAAAAATAAAATTGTCCGCAATTCTGTCATAGGTTGAGATAAAGACCTATAGTTTTCAACGATGTTCTAAAAAACTGGCCTTTAAAACGAGGCCTTGAAAAGTTGATAGGGGATGATCATACTTTTGCCCTACCAAGTAACAATAACCATGTAACATAATTAAAATAATTAATTTTAATATTCAAACATAAAATTAGTTATGAATAGCACAAATGCCATATTATTATAAATCAGCTATTTATAAATAATTATATTATTGTTTACCTTTATCATTGACAAGATTATGTGTTTGATAACAGAATAGCTATGTATCTATTATCACAAAAGTTAGTGCCTGTTTTGTATTATTTAGCCTTTTGTTTGCCATAAAATTATTGCTGCATATAAAGAGGGAAAAACCATAATGTGGGCAACAACTGTTTTATGTAACTAACACGCTTAAATAAATATAAGAATGCTATGTATAGTACAATGATACCATCTTCGGGTCATTAAACTAATTAGACTGCGTATTTTAGTATTAAACCTACCTTTAATAAAGCTCTTGAAACTCACAGAGGTAAGTAATACCAATTCTCTGGTGGTTCAAATATTTATACCTTATCTTCAATAGTCATTAAGTGTATCTCATGGTCCAACTGTAAATAGCTGGTAATAAAGATAACGTAATGTACCTTATGATGTAAATGAAGACAGACCGTGTTATTAGTTATTTATGGTATTTAGTTTTGTTAAACGTCAGTTAAAAATCGTATTTAATTAAATGTTTACAACCACATAAGGCAAGTAATTAATAAAAAAGTATTGTAGAGTGTCCCGTAACTAAGCAGCCAAACTCCGGGAAAGTCAAGAACACTTTCATTTAGTGTTTTTAATTCCCTATCAAACAACGCCAAGTTCAAAAAGATCAAATAAGAAATAGCTTAAATATTACGAATGTTAGTTGTAAAATGGGGTAGAAAAAGGCTAAGCTAGTAAGGTTTGCCCAAATGGTCGGTTTTAAAAATTTAAAGATAAAAATGTAAATGTGAAAAAAAAAATTATATATATCTGGTTTACGAAGTTTTTTTTTACAAAAATTTTAATCTTGGTCTTCTTTATATTTTCAACCATAGAACCATTTCCTGGAGATTATCTGTTTACTTAGGGGACACAATGTATATTATAGTTTATGCATGGTTGAAAAATTAATAATTTAAAATCTAAAATAAGATATTTGGTTTGCCTCTTTGGTCCAATATTTTAACAGATTAACGTCCACACTTGAACTTAAATGTCAGTGGCATTGGTAGACACAATATTAATATTAATGTAATAACAAATAAAGCTTGTATTCGAAAATGTCAGATTGATTTTTAATTTGCTCATAGGATATTTTCGGAGCCGTTTTATATATTATTGTAGGCAATAACTGATTTAAAAACAAATATATCATTTTAAGTAACAAAATATGAACACGTTTTTACATATGTAAATGAAAAATTCTTAATTAATGTTATCGAAACATATAACATGAAAGCCACCCTTAAACTTGTTGACGTTAAGATTAATACCATACTTTTTATCTCTTCTTTCAATATTATATTAGTATAAATTACCACTGTTATCAACACACTGTTTTTTATTTATTTTTTATGAGTGGATGAAAACAGTAATACCAAATATTTATTGAAATATCTACCTGAACTGTTGTGTTTAACATTTATACGATCAAAAATAATGAATAATTTATTAAATCACGAGTTTGGTTTTATATACATAGGCTTGATTTATTGCAAACAAGGGTATAATTCAAATATGAGTCTTTAAAAATAAAGTTGAGTCTTAGGAGGAAAGGCCTTTTGACGGTGGAGCAAACCTACTTTTGAATCGTAAAGATATTCAATTTATTTAACAACACAATGACATTTGATCAATTAATCATTCTTTTATAATTACAATGGTTTTAACTAACCCTCATTTTATCGAACCAAAACACACAAAACGAGATGTGAAATTTTGGTACAGTGGAGGTATCAATTATCTTTAGTGCAAACATGTTCTGTAGGATTCTCCCAGACTTCGTGCAATTTAAAATAATTAGTTTTAAAGAAAGTATATATAAGTAAATATATATATATATATATATATAAAGTATAGCAATAAAAAAGTGATATTTTTGAGCATTGAAAGTTAAACACGCATATTTCATAAAACATTTTATTCAGAGTTTTTATAAAGTTAGAAGGTAAAATATATTTCCTAATTACCATAACCATTATAAAGTTTTAGTCTGAATCTTTTAGTTTTAACCACAATAATGTATAAGTCCCAAGAGACGTATTATAATTTAAGTAAGCTTTTTACTTTTTACTATTTTACTAATATTACAATATGGTGGGAACCTTATACTAAATGTGAATTATTGTAAGGTGTAATTATTGTAAGTTGATATTCAACTTGATTATGTGGATGGAAAAAAAATTACAGTCGATTGTAATAGCAGTTGATACATAAAATCAATATTACTAAATTAAAGACTCCATTCTAAAATGTGATAATTTAATACTATAATCTGAAATGACGAAAATACGAATGTAGGTATTTTAAGCCAAGTATAAATGGAGATGAGTGTAGGATGAGTGGCGCAATCTCGTAGTCATATTAGTGACCAAGTCCGACATGTTCCTTAGGCATAGCTGTTAATAGCTTATACATCCAATGGCAAATAAGGGACCTACAATTTATAGTGGAATCTGAACCACATTTTTGCCTTAACGACTTGGTCTAATTATCAGGATAGTACTGCGGATGGTCGAATTACTTACTGGTGCGGACGTTAATCCACACTAGGGAGTATCTCATCAACAGTGCATGCTTATAAATATCCACAATTCGTCACCTCCTAGTAGCTGGATCAGGACGTAAAATGGCTTTAATTTTATAGAATAGAGGGAAAGTATAGATGATTCGAACGAAACATGGATTATATACCTGATAACAGATACTCATCCACAAGCATTTAACTTATGTAAGAGGACATCTACGTCAATATAAGTGAATTATAAAATGACTCAGTTTGAATTCTCCAGGATTTAATAAAGCACGCTTTTAAGGCTTATAAAGTTTTATTTATTTTAATCATAACACAAGTGCAGCTTCCATTGTGGTAGATCCAAGAGATATTTATCCTTATATTGAGAGAGGAGATTATTATGAACAACCAGTTCCACTCATCGGTTTAGGTTCAGGTTTTGCAATCGTGAACTAAACAAAAATAAGAACAATTAACTTCATAAATAGTTAAGATCGTGCATCTTATACTATATATTAGTTATCAATATAATATTATATAAAAAAACTCGGTAAAAACCCTCACTTTATGCTAAACACGTAATCATGCATCACATTAGGTCAGTAAAAAAAAACACCAATTATATTACTAAAAAAGGTTATTTTTTATACTCAGTGGACATATTTTAACACTAATTGAAATTGGTGAAATTCTGAAAAAGTTATACCGTTTTTAAGTACAATACTGTGCTATCAATTACTCTATTAAAAAATAAATGTATCAAGTACTAAACAGAAATATATTAAGAAGTTAGAACATATCATAAAACAGTTGATAATAACGTTTTATACTTACATCGACGAATGCTAAGAAGGTAGCAAGTCCCACAATGACAGCTGATGTAAAAGTCATCTGTAATACGAATTCAATTATAATGGTCAGATGTATCAATTTTAGGGTGGATGGTACAGGATTGAACATACAGGGTTGAAAAATGTCCCGGGAAAGCTAAATATTTCAAAAAATTTTAAAGATAAAACTACAAAAATTGGTGAACATTTACTGGACATTAAAACAGTTTATACACATTAATCAGTCAACCATACCTCCTCTGGGATAGTAAGAGAAAAATCTTAAATGTAAGCATTGGTCGATATGCACATAAAATTATAGATCTTTATCAGTACAATACAATGCTGAGAATTTGAACAAAACGGACAACCAAGATGAAAATGGCAGTCGTTCAAAGATTCAAAAAGGTAGTTCGATGAAATCTTTGAAAAGCTGCCATTTTCGACTTGGTTGCCCGTTTGAGTTCAAATTTGCAGTATTGTATCATACTAATAAATACCTTTTATTTGCTGTACCTATCAAAATATGCTCGAATTTGAGGTTTTCTCCTGACTCCTAGCAGGACGATACCCTGACGAGGGTAATAATTGAATAATGTGTCAGAGTGATTTTAATGTCCATTATCTTTGTACCAAGTTTTGTAGCTCTATATTGATAATTCTTTTTTATATTAAACTGTTCCAGGACTTTTTCTACCTTGTATTTCACGGAAAGTAAAACTTAAAGCTATTCCTCAAGGTACTTAAAATAAATACTTTATACTAATAATTATTAATAGCTGTATAAAAAATTGATAATTTTTCAATGGTAAGAAAGCTTAATATATAAAAAAGTAAAATGTTGACGGTTATAGCTTGAAAATTAGCCAACCAAAATTGTAAATAAGAAAAAGGTTTGAGGGTTACTTTGATATTACACTGAGTACTGGACCAATAATTGTGCTGAAACCTTTTAGGAAAGAGCCAATTTAAAGCCTACTACCACTTTACCTCACTTGTTTGAAAAAGTTATCATAATGTGTTTCATAAATATATCAAATATTGTAGTTACTATAATACTATAAATCAGTCATTCTTTAATGGTTTTGTTTTACATTTTACATACATTTAGAATATTATGCGTTTTTAAGTTAGCTATGATAATTATATTATTATGAAAGCTAGCGAAAGTTTTATATTAGTTAGCCTTTTGTTTTCTGGGAAATATTTATAAAGAGCTGCAACTAAAGAGGCCTCACTAAAAAGTAAAATTTGGGCAAAACAAATTTAATTTGATGAACATATTTAAATATTAGACTGCGATATATGGTACAATAACAACATCTTTGGAACATAAAATAAATTAAAAAAGTATAAAACTAATTAGTATTACCCTAAATAAGATTCGTGAAACTCACAGATGAAAGTAATAGCAATCCTTTGATGGTTCAAATATTTATATGTTTTCTTCAATAGTTAACAATTGCATCAGATGATTTAACTGTGAATAATTAGTAATAAAGATAACGTAAAGTACTTTATGATGTAAATGAAAACAGACCGTGTTATTAATTAGTTATGGTATTTCGTTTTAACAAAGGTCAATTAAACATCTTGCTTGTTCAAATGTTTACGACCTCATAAGTTAAATTATTTTGTTATATATTGAAATAAATAATAAATAATTTGAAATATTTTAAAAGTTTTTCACTAACATATTAACTTATGCAATTTGGCTTTGCTTAACACAATATAAATATTAAATGTGTCCTAGAATGTGAAGGTGGTACATAAATAAACACAACTACAAAGCATTTAGCAATATTACCACTCAGCTGCCCAAATTTGTATATGGCAAATAATTGGAACACGAAATAACACTGTTTTTAAGCTTGTAACTAATACGAGCATAAGCCACGTAACAGCCACCAGCGCACGTTACTGGTTAATACTAGTAAATATTGAATGGGAAACATATTACTGAAAAGTTTTTGTTAGTAGTTCTAATATACTGGTACCATGTTACATCGGTTTTGAGGGGAGTAGTCATTAGGTTTTTTAAAATTTTAATAATATAAAAGTTAAAAAAAAATTATTATGATTCATGCTCAACATCAAGTCAGTAAAACAAACTTACAAGCTTACTAAACAAGGTTATTTTATTTTACACAGTAGTAATATTACACTAAATTAAAATTGGTAAAATTCTAAATAAGTGTTGATGGTTTAGGTACACGACTGTGAAATCTATCGCTATAAAACACGTTCTTTATCAAATAGTATTAAAGGGATCTATATAAGAAAGCGGTACATGTTATAAAACAAACAATAATGATTCATACTTACATCAACGAATGCTACTAAGGTAGCAAGTGTAATAGAAAGGTAACTACTGCCGCGATTAAAGCTGATGCAATAGCCATCTGTAATACGAATTTTATTACTATGGCCAGTCGTACCAACCTATCAGCAAATTACACTTGAACTGCTAGGGTCCACAGATTTTCCGTCAAGGACGTGAAACGAACCAATCCCGGTAACGACACAACGTAACAGTATACAAAATGTGAGCCATGACACGCGCACACGTTCCCCACGCGATATCACGTCTATTATTTTGTATAATATTACGTAGTGTCGTCGCCGGAATCTGGTTGTATCGCGGTTGTATCTGGTTGTAGAGCTGTGGACCCCAGCAGTTCACGTCCGCCGTTCTGGCACATGTTTTGTTTATGTAAGACGAGTGGCTGTCATCTTAACAACTACCGTTTTGTTTCCCTTGTTCGTAAAATGTCTTGCTTATTTGTTTTTCGTTTTTGTAAGTTTAAGCATTAGGGGGCAAAAGCATGCGCACCCCTATTAAATTTTTAATGTGTTACACCAGGAAAGCCAAACTCTGCACACCTCTATATAACATAGTAGTGTTTTTTTTTATGGTATCCCAATTTTGCTTGAAACCCTAAAATGGGTTATTTTGGAGGCAGCTAAAAATTCTAAATTAAAGCCCCATCAAGTGCCACCTCGTTTTAAAGGCAATTAGTTTAAAAGAAATTTTGGTGAAACCTAGTGATCTCTATCTTCACCCATTACAGAATGAATAAAAAAATCCCATTTTGGGGTCCTGGTCAAAATTATTACACCGACTAAAAATAAGTTTTTCAGTAATACTGATTTTGATTTCCCTAGTACAAGCCATAAAAACGTTAATAGGGAATATTGATGGACATTTTTACATGGGGTCCCTCAGGCTGACGAACAATAAAATTGTCCGCAAATTCTGTCATGGGTTGAGATAGAGACCTATAGTTTTCGACGATATTCTTTTAAACTGGCCTTTAAAACAAGGCCTTACCATAAAGTTATTGCTGCATATAAAGAGGACAACAACCATAATGTGGGCAAAAATTGTTTTATGTAATTAAAAACACTTAAATAAATATAAGAATGCTATTGTATAGTACAATAATACCATCTTCGGGTCATTAAACTAATTAGACTGCGTATTTTAGTATTAGTCCTACCTTTAATAAAACTCTTAAAACTCACAGAGGTAAGTAATACCAATTCTCTGGTGGTTCAAATATTTATACCTTATCTTCAATAGTCATTAAGTGTATCTCATGGTCCAACTGTAAATAGCTGGTAATAAAGATAACGTAATGTACCTTATGATGTAAATGAAGACAGACCGTGTTATTAGTTATTAATGGTATTTAGTTTTGTTAAACGTCAATTAAAAATCGTATTTAATTAAATGTTTACAACCACATAAGGCAAGTAATTAATAAAAAAAGTATTGTAGAGTGTCCCGTAACTAAGCAGCCAAACTCCGGGAATGTCAAGAACACTTTTAGTGTTTTTAATTCCCTATGAAACAACGCCAAGTTCAAAAAGATCAAATAAGAAATAGCTTAAATATTACGAATCTTAGTTGTAAAATGGAGTAGAAAATGGCTAAGCTAGTCAGGTTTGCCCAAATTTACAACTAGTTTCATAATGGTCGGTTTAAAACTTTAAAGATAAAAATGTAAATGTGAAAAAAATGATATATATCTGGTTTACGAAGATTTTTTAGAAAAATGTTAATCTTGGTCTTCTTTATGTTTTCAACCATAGAACCGTTTCCTGGAGCTTATCTGTTTACTTAGGGGACACAATGTATATTATAGTTTATGCATGGTTGAATAATTAATAATTTAAAATCTAAAATAGGATATTTGATTTGCCTCGGTGGTCCAATATTTTAACAGATTAACGCCCACACTTCAACTTAAATGCCAGTGGCATTGGTAGACACAATATTAATATTAATGTAATAAAAAATAAAGCTTGTATTTGAGCATGACAGATTGATTTTTAATTTGCTCATAGGATATTTTCCGAGCCGTATTATATATTATTGTAGGCAATAACTGATTAAAAACCAAATATATCATTTTAAGCAACAAAATATGAACACGTTTTTACATATGTAAATGAAACATACTTAATTAATGTTATCGAAACATATAACATGAAAGCCACCCTTAAACTTGTTGACGTTAAGATTAATACCATACTTTTATCTCTTCTTTCAATATTATATTACTATAAATTACCACTGTTATCAACACACTGTTTTTTATTTATTTTTTATGAGTGGATGAAAACAGTAATACCAAATATTGAAATACCTACCTGAACTGTTTTGTTTAACATTTATACAATCAAAAGTAAAAAATTAGCTATTAGATCATGCGTTTGGTTTTAAATACGTAGTCTTGATTTATTGCAAACAAGGGCATAATTCAAATATGCATCTTAGAAAAGAAAGTGGAGTGGAGGAAAGTTCTTTTGACGGTGGAATAAACCTACTTTTGAATCGTAAAGATATTCGATTTATTCAACAACAGAACGGCATTTTATCAATTAATCATTCTTTTATAATTACAATGGTTTTTAACTAACCCTCATTTTATCGAACCAAAACACACAAAATGAGATGTGACATGCTGGTACAGTGGAGGTATCAATTATCTTTAGTGCAAACGTGTTCTGTAGGCTTCTTACAGACTTCATGCAATTTAAAATAATTAGTTTTAAAGAAAGTATATATAAGTATATATATATATATACAAAAATTTATATATATATATATATAAAGTATAGCAATAAAAAAGTGATATTTTTGAGCATTGAAAGTTAAACACGCATATTTCATAAAACATTTTATTCAGAGTTTGTATAAAGTTAGAAGGTAATAGTAGTTTACGCAACGATTGCGTTAAGTGAGTCTTTACGACACGAGTAGAAAATGTAAGGCACGAGCCTTGGCGAGTGCCTTAAAAACTTCTACGAGTGTCGTAAAGACTATTAACGCGAGTTGCGTACACTACTTTACCTACGACCGTTTTTTAATTACTATCAATCTGGATTTAATTACTAACAATCACTACTGATAACTTTTTAGAGAGGTTATGTTTTCGTGTATTGTCATTGCCACTGAAAGTGATGCAACGACTTGTTGTATAATCAGCTGATTTCCTGTAATTACGTGTTTTTAAACTTCGTTAAATATTACATTGCTAGCAGCATTCTTACCATAAATAATATTGTATCAGGTACAATTCGGCAAATATTTCATTTATTTTTGGACTTCCACCAACTTAATTAAGAATACGCGAGTATCAACATGAACAAGTCGGATCAACAATTAATTGGTCAACTAATCAGCTGATCAGCTGATTAGTTGACGTTCGAAGCATTACAATTTTAATTCTTTTCTCTCAATACTTGAACCTCATTGGTCCGTTACCTGTGTGGATATGAGAAAACTATGCGGATATGAAAGTAAACAGCTGTAAAGTGGGACTTTTCAATTCTAAGAACTGGACTTGAAATGGCTACTTAAAAAAACGGTCGTAGGTAAAATATATTTCCTAACTACCATAACCATTATAAAGTTTTAGTCTGAATCTTTTATATTTAACCACAATAATGTATAAGTCCCAAGAGGACGTATTATAATTTAAATAAGCTTTTTACTTTTTAATATTTAATTACTAATATTACAATATGGTGGGAACCTTATACTAAATGTGAATTATTGTAAGGTGTAATTATTGTAAGTTGATATTCAACTTGATTATGTGGATAGCAAAAAAAATATTTACAGCCGATTTTAATAGTAGTTGATACAAAAACTTAATATTACTAAATTAAAGACTCCATTCTAAAATATGATACTTTAATACTATAATCTGAAATGGTGACCATACGAATGTAGGTATTTTAAGCCAAGTATAAATGGAGATGAGTGTAGGATGATTGGCGCGATCTCGTAGTCATATTAGTGACCAAGTCCGACATGTTCCTTAGACACAGCTGTTAATTAATAGCCCATACATCCAATGGCAAATAAGGGACCTACAATTTATAGTGGAATCTGAACCAAATTTTTGCCTTAACGAATTTGTCTAATTATCAGGATATTACTGCGGATGGTCGAAGTTTACTGGTGTGGACGTTAATCCACACCAAGGAGTATCGCATCCACAGTGCATGCCTATAAATATCCACAATTCGTCACCTCCTAGTAGCTGGAACAGACGTAAAAATGGCTTTAATTTTATAGAATAGAGGAGAAAAGTATAGATGATTCGAACGAAACATGGTTTATATACCTGATAACAGATACTCATCCAACTAGCATTTAACTTATGTAAGAGGACATCTACATCAATATAAGTGAATTATAAAATGACTCAGTTTGAATTCTCCATGATTTAATAAAACACGCTTTTAAGGCTTATTAAGATTTATTTCTCTTGATCATAACACAAGTGCAGCTTCCATCTCGTATGATCCATGAGATATTTATCCTTATATTGAGAGAGGAGATTATTATGAACAACCAGTTCCACTCATCGGTTTAGGTTCAGGTTTTGCAATCGTGAACTAAACAAAAATAAGAACAATTAACTTCATAAAAAGTTAAGAACGTGTCTCTTATATATATATTAGTTATCAATATACTATTATATTTTAAAACCCGTAAAACCTCACTTTATGCTTAACATGTAATCATGCATCACATTAGGTTAGTAAAAAAAATACCAATTATATTACTAAACAAGGTAATTTTTTATACTCACTGACATATTTTAACACTAAATTGAAATTGGTGAAATTCTGAAAAAGTTATACCGTCTTAAGTACATTACTGTTATCATTTAATTCTTTTTAATGTGCCATAAATTACTCTATTAAAAAATAAATGTATCAAGTACTAAACAGAAATATATTAAGAAGTTAGAACATATCATAAAACATTTAATAATAACGTTTTATACTTACATCGACGAATGCTAGAAAGGTAGCAAGTCCCACAATGACAGCTGATGCAAAAGACATCTGTAATACGAATTCAATTATAATGGCCAGATGTATCAATTTTAGGGTTGACGGTATGCACCATGCGTAAAGCTAAATATACAGGGTTGAAAAATTTCCCGGGAAAGCTAAATATTTCAAAACATTATAAAGATAAAACTACAAAACT